AGAATCTATCCACCAGGTGTTTCTAGGTGCTGAAACTAAATTATTCTCAGAATAGACCAAAGTAAGAAGTGTACCTTTCTTTGCACGCCAATCGCGATATTTGGCACAATCCTTCTGCACCGGCACAGCAGCGTTGGTCGCACGCCGGCACCACAGGCAGCAGCGCCGACGTGCAACGCAGCAGCGCTGCGTAGCTGCTGGGCAGATCAAACCAATTTTTTTTTTTCTTATACAGCAACCTAGCAATCGAAAATTTAAATTCCATAATAACACACAACAGATTCAAAGAAACTGGCTCTATATCCATAGTCCCAACAACAGAGTAAAAGCTAACCCACATTTGAATTCATGGTATAACAACAATTTTCTTGTACAGTTAGATCCAAATTTTCATGCCAGATTCTTAAAAATAATGTGAAAGCAGATCACATAACCCAAAAAAAAAATTTCAGAATTTATAAAAAATCCTTATTTCTCGAAGATTCAACAATGGAGTAGCTCTGATACCACTGGAAAGAATTTAATCCAGATTTCTAGGTTTGAAAGGAACTAATAATCCAATTTTAATCATTTCATAAATTTATCCACGTTGAATCAAAGAGAACAAAATGAAAGCGGAAGCGTACCTTGATCCACGATTGTAATTGATTTTGTACGGGTTATGATCTTTCAATTGATTCGTGATTTCCCTTAGAATTCTTGAAAAACTCTCTGTTGATGGGGATGCAAAAGTTATGAAAAAATCACGTTAATTGGGGACCATGACCCCATGATAAATAACTGTTAGGCAGTTATCATCTTTTACTTGTTTTAAATTGGTCCCTCATCAATTTAAAACAACTACCCGACCTCTACACTTTAATTCCATAATAATTGATACCCATTAGTCCAAAATTAAATTCATTGGATCACTTTAATGGACAAAAAAAAAACTATAAGATAGCAACGCACACTTTAATCATATACATGCGTGGCCCAATTGATAAAATTTTTCCAACAGCTAATGCTGCCCACTCAAGCTATAAGCTAGTCGAACCCTGGTGTCCTTGCTAAACACTCTTTAGATTGGTATGTACCCTCGGGTTGTGAAATGAATTTCCATTTACAAATAATGTGAAATTGTTCAGTACGTGTTTAACAATGCTACAAAACTTAGGTTTTGGGTCCAAATACGTTCATGTCATTTAATTTTACTTTCTTATCAGATATATGTTTCACTTATAAACGTCATATTTCATATTCTTTTGCAATTTTTATTCATATTGAATATCACAATACAATAAACCTAATAATTAGTATCAAAACATGTGGGTTTGTGTCAAGACGATGACCCCTTGGTCGTCCTTTTAGTTTTTGTATAAAGGGACTAGACTAAATAGCTACATTTCCGACATGCTTGATGCTATGTGCATAGCAGTGTCTTTGGTCCCCTCATTTGAGTTAGGAACGGTCATTGTTCATGTCAAGGAGAAGCTATTGAAGTTAAACTTTTCTTGTACGGTTCCTCTAGCATTTCGTTAATGCTGTTCATAAGGGGCCTTGCATCTTGTATGACAAAACACCTTATAGGTCACAATCTCGACCTGACTAATAGGCCTCAACTCTCGAAGATAACATATAGAAGTCTCATCTTCACCCATTTTATAGATATTCTTGTGTTAAGATATTTGATAACACGTGAGGAGACCGCTGAATGTCAAACTTCTTAATTTTTCAAAGTAAAATGTTGATAACGAATCATTAACAGTATCGTCCATTCTATATTTTGAATATGTTCATTGTGCATGGGTGCAAAAATGGTATATGATGCAGCTCAAAAAAATTTAATTTAATCAGATATGCTATTTCATTTTTTTTCCCTTCAATTTTTATGGTGATGAGTGTTACAACATATCCAAAATGAACACGAAAAAAATGATAATATTAAGATGGATGCGTAGTCTGTCTAGGGTATAAGGTCGCAAGTTGGAGGTGCTGTTGTTAAAGAATAAACTTAGCGAATGACAATATAAGTAGGTTAAAAGTATCTCATGTATACCTAAACAAACTTTCACTTACAAGTGTAACTTGTTCTTGGGTAAATATGTAATGGATTTCTCTGCTTGTATAGAAGTAGAGCTGTCAGAATTTCACTAGATGTTGCAGTGCCATCTGATTGATTTGTTTTTCTTTCTTTCTTTATTTCATTTTTTACTATTGTCGAATCAAAAAACTGCCAAGTATACTCTGGCAAAATTCTGACAGCATTTTTCTATGCATATATGATATAGCAAGTTTGATATGTAATAGCCCAAGGTAAAAGTTGAGAATAAGACTGGGTTCTTTTTTGATGCATAATCCTCCACTGAACCAAGCATACGTGGCGTTTTGTTCTTTTCAGGAATGGAACAACATTTAGCGAAGGCAAGTAGGATGTCTTCAAGGTTGGTCCCCCACAACTTTAATGTACAAGACATCATCAATTAGTGATTCAAAATTTTTCAGCCTCATCATCCAAGGATTTATAGATAGAGGTATAAACAAGAGAAAATTATAACACAAAAAGAAATGATGGAGTTTTTTTTGGCTTTTTCTCCTAGCAATGTTTGTCCAATGGACCCCCTTTGTTTCTACTTTCTTGCAACTAATTTGAAGTTCCCTCCAGTGCAAAAGTTTCTGTGGCTTGCAGAATTGGGAATCCTTAATTGATGTTCTGTTATTCACACAATGTTAAGAAGTGTGACTACGCCTAGAGATAGTTCTTGAAATATCGTTTTCTGGAGTTAAGGTATTACGTCTCCCCGTAATATTTTGTATATTCAATTTCATGTTGCTGTTACTAATATATATTTTGGCCGTTGGGCGAGTTATCTCTTATTGTTAGTATTGTGAGGAGTTTTAGATTTAGTGGTTCTGGATCTTTCAGTATGCCCATCTAGAAATGAATCGAACGGAGTGCAGAAAAGAATTTATGTCGTTGACTCCAAATTTATTAAAAAATGCTTAATTTATTGTTGTTTGGAACTATATCAAGGGTGGAGTGATGAAAATGCAAGAAAAGACGATTATATATTATTGTTTGTGTTTGTTAAGCAGTGGTATATCAAATTATTTTTGCGTCCCGTAAATCCAGCAATGAATTAAGCAGCAAAAAATGAGTAATGTAGCAGATTACTATTTTTTAAGAGCTATGTTAAACCATTTGAATAGTATTAAGAGTGAGGGTGAAATGCAAGACATCTTTTTAACATCCTTGGTTCCCATCACGTCTAGTAAAATGCAGACGCTTGCCAATACTTCCCTCGGAAAAAAAAATGGTAATTTAGAAGACTTAAAGCGCATTTGGTTTGCCGTTTTCTGTTTTTAATTTTCAAAAATGCCCAAAATGTGTTTGGTTCGTCGTTTCCGAAAAAGCATTTTAAAAAACAAGAAAATATTTATGACTGAAAATTCAAAACGATTTTTTTCTGTTTTGAGCGTTTTCAATTAAAAAACTCAAATGCGGAAAACGCTCAAAACACTCCATTTTTTTGTTTTTTTTACCCCAAGGGATGCTCAGTACTTTTAAAATAAAGTATTGTAATCTGATATAATTTAGTGAAGCATAGTAATTTTAAAACTCACAACATTTTTCAATTTATATTATTATTTTTTTCGTTGATAAAAATATGAAAGAACTATTATTTCCTTTTTTATTGTCCAAGCAACAGCAAATTACATCCAGAAAGATGAAGGATAGATTAGCTATTTTTCTTTACAATGATTCCTACTTTTGGTCTATAAATTTATTATTTTATTTTTGTAGAAAGAATATTCACCAAGTTTAAAATATATATATTATCTGATAATAGATTAAAATAAAATTATTATGTTTTACTAAATAATCAAATTTATTGAATAAATGTCATAGAATAATTTCTAAAATTTTTAAATCAAACGCATTTTCTAGTTTTCTATTTTGAGAAATCATTTTTCCAAATGACAAACTAAACAAGTTTTTTGTAATTTGAAAATACTTCCTCAAAACAGAAAATTAAAAATGAATTCAAAACCGAAAATGGAAACGCAAACCAAACGCACTCTTAGTTTGCGGGCTTATAAGCATTGTAGTGTTTTATTTTACTTTATTTTAAGTCAGTTTTAAGGCCATAGCAATGTATTTATCTTCTTAAATCTGTGCTTAAATATCGACTATTTTCCAATGATATTTACCAATCTATTATTATGACAGTAAGACAATAACTTTGGGGTGGGGCTGAAGTTGGAAAGCAGCGTTCAGTCATAAACAGGTGAATCTGTTAGTAAAAGCAAAACTTAGAACCCTAAGAAATACTTTTGAAAAATAAAGTCTCCTCGAAGTTCTCAAAACATTGTGAAAGAATCTCCAAGGGTATTAATTGGAAATTGGAAAATGCCTTGTGTACAGAAAATAATTTCACGGATATTCTACAGGGCAGTCACATGAGGGTGGACTCCATGTGAATATTTTATGGGGATAGGCCTCATTGCTATGTGTATTCTGTAAAATATCTGTATAAATTTTTCTGCAAGTGTAGCATTGTTCATTGGAAATAGCCCTTGTCAAGTCGCCCTATTAGAAAACGATAATATTTTAAAAGTCTAATCTGCTCTAGTACCACTGTTACAAATATGTTGGGATAGAACTCACACGGGAAAACAACCCACAAAACAGGCACTTCACGAGCAACCATGGGACTTGAAAATAATCGTTAACGTGTTTTTATGAAGCTCCATTGGTGGACCAAGCATCAATGCTGTTGGAGAAAGGCTTCACAAGATGGAATAACAATTGTCACTAAGGAACAAAAAGAGATGATGGAAACATGTGATGGCCCTTTAAAGCCATAAGAAATTGATTTACCATCCTTTAACAAGATGCCAAATATATCATCTTTTCTTATAAGAGACATAATCAAGAATGATTCATTAATTTACATTTATTTTTCCTGCACAATATTATTTTCTATAAAACTAGTATAAAGTAAATTATTAACGAATCATACTATCAAGAACTGAACTGTCTCAGTTTGAATTATTGTTCCAAGTAAATACAGCGGGGAAGAAAATTCTGGTTACAGCAGCAAGACTGATGTCTTGAACACATGAATTTTCAAGATTTTGTTTACGTGCAGAAATTTTCCATGCATTTTCCCCATAAAATTGGAACGATACTGAGAAGATTATTAGTAGCATCATCTTGACACGGGCAAATTAATAATCCTTCCTTTGCTTCCGTCTTCTGTGCAAAAATGCATAGATCCTCTCATTTTTCTGAAAACGAGAAAACATGGAATTTCAATTCTAAAGCAATCGTAATGATCTCATAATTAAAGCCAAAAAAAAAAAGAAGAGAGATTGTGTTTACAATTACCTATAGATCTTTTGCAGTATAGAATTGCTTCATTGATAGAGCTCTCAATATCGGCACAAACATTAAAAGAATATGATGAACTTATTCGTGGTGATTCTCGTGGAGAACCATTTCGACTCTCAATCTTCTTGAGTTCATAATAAACATCGTTTTTATTGCCAGTTTCATTGAAATCGGCCCAATCAACAGAGGAATAAGCTATACTAGGACGAGGCGATACCTGGAGGGAATTGTTCCAACTCTGAACTTCACAAGCTTTTCTCTCAAGATCATCCACTCTAATGTTTTTTCTAGAACATCCTAAAGTTTTACATAATGGCCTAAAAAATCCAAAACACTTCTGCAACACTCTTTTCGATGATTTTCTCCATTTTCTGAGGAAAAAATACCTTGTACTCCTAGGCTGTCCCAGCAATTTCTTTTCCAGTGCCCCTTCTGGTAGCAACTCACGTCGACTTCTCAAAGAATACGAAGAAACAGGCGTGCGTGCCTGGAGCTGAGGTCGAGGTACTAAACGCCTCAGATTTTGATCTTTCAACATATATAGGCATAATATGCCCATCAGAGAAAATTTCATCAGCATGTACTAGGGAAAGGGGGGATGCTGATACAGGAAAATCAAATTTGAGATTCTGTTCTTTTGATCCAACTTCAATCGAATTTTCGCCAAAATTTTTTAGGGAATTGAGAAAGCAATCAGAAGAGGGATTTTTGTGTATTAACCAACTGTATGAAAAACTTTCAGTGGCTAGTGGATTCGAATTTTCCATTATCAGTAGAAAACTATAGTTTTGAGAAGAAAATACAGGAGAATGCTTATATGTATACACTAAATGGGGATGGAACTCAAGTGAGAATTCTTCACATTGACCACAATATATAGCAAGGTTCATGGTACCCACAACTGCATGGATTACACACGCGCGTGTGTAAGCTGAAATACACAATTTCAGCATCAACACATGGCATGTAACATGTTTATTTAACACCAATTTGGTCAACCATATTTTAAATTAGCCACAATTCTATAATTATTTTGATTGCCTTCCCCCTGTGAAGTATGAAACTCGAGCTTTTATCGTGGACTATAGATGAATCAATAGAAAACAAAGAGTGGAATTCGCAACAAGGGTACTCATTAAATTCAATGAATAGGTGATAATTTTGTTTCGTGTTCATTATGCATTATATAATGTTATCGCTGTTCTCAAACGTTATTTGCCCTTCTCCGATGTATTCGAGATGCTAAAAGGTATTCCGACAAATGGTTTGAAGGATTACAACAAGTCTTGTAAAGAATTTCACCAAAACACAAGATAAAATTCTCCAAAACTTGAAAAACACGAGGATATGAATATAAATCAGGATTTGATATTTTTCTTGGAACAAAGTATGGATTGCAAGATGTTTTTCTTGCTTCTTCCCTCAAACATGGCTCTCCAATATATAGCCATCGACCAGAAGTACAAAATGGTGCCAAAAAATTAAGTGAAAAGTCACCAAATTCAAATTTGCAACGACAAAAAAGGTCAAAAAATATGTACCATGCGACCGCATGATTCAAACCCATGTGGTCACATGGTTTACCCATGTCGAGACCATTTGGTCTCGGTCTAAGGCCATGCGACCGCATGGCAAAGATCTTTAAGCCACTCAGCTTCTTTCTCGGTATTCGATAGGGCTACAAATTCTGATTCCATAATTGAGTGTGTTATGCATGTTTGTTTCTTTGATTTTCAAGAAAAAGCACCTCCTCCAAGAGTGAACACCCAACCCGTAGTGGATTTACTCTCATCTGCGCTAGATATCCAACTAGCGTCGGTAAATCCTTCCAATACCTCTGGGAATTTAGTATATTGCATGCCCAAGTTCTTGGTTTTCTTTAAGTATCCAAGAACTCTTCCTATGTCCTTCCAATGACTATTTTTTGGATTGCTGGTAAACCTGCTAAGTTTAGTTATGGCATAGGTTATGTCCGGTCTTGTGCATTGAACTGCATACATAAGACATCCGATTGCACTAGCATATTCCAATTGAGCAATTGCCCTTTCATCATTCTTTACAAGTTTTGAACTTGGATCAACCGGAGTACTATACTCTTTTATGTTCAAGTGTTTGAACTTGTTTATCACATTCTCAATATAATGTAATTGACTTTGGTGATAACCCCCACTAATCTCTGTGATTTTGATACCTAAAATGGTATCCACTTGACCAAGATCCTTCATCTTGAATGTGGAAGATAGAAACTTCTTTGTTACTTTTATACCGTCCATGTGATTACTTATAATCAACATGTCGTCAACATACAAGCGTATAAATGTTATGTAATTATCACATATTTTAGTATATAAACATTTATCTACACTATTATATTTAAATCCGAATGATATAATTGCTAAGTCAAACTTCTCATGTCATTTCTTAGGTGCCTGCTTCAAACCATACAATGATTTTACTAATTTGCATACCTTACGTTCATTTTCAGGTAGAATGAACCCTTCAAGTTGCTCCATATAGACCTCCTCGTCGAGATCTCCATTTAAGAATGTCGTCTTGACATCCATTTGATGAACATGCAAATCATATATTGAAGTCAATGCAAATAATATCCTAATCGATGTTATTCTAGCTATCGGTGCATAAATATCAAAATAGTCGATTCCTTCCTTTTGTCGATATCATTTGGCTACTAATCTAGCCTTGAAAGTATTTAAAGAACCATCAACATTATATTTTCTTCTAAATACTCATTTACATTCAATAGGTTTGGATCCTGGTGGTAAATCGACAAGTTTCCAAGTTTTATTAGACATTATCGAATCCATTTCATATTTAATTGCATATTTCTAAAAAATACTATCACGAGAAGCCCTAGCTTCTTTATAGGTTTTAGGGTCGGTTTCCACTTGTAGAACAAAAGGAATTGTTCTAACAATATTCAACTCATTTCCTTCTACTAAGTAAAAGGAGATAAGTTGATAATCAATTTCATCTGGTCCCAAAGATTTTTCAACTCGAGTTCTCTTGCTTCTTCGTGGTTCACTAGACTCTTCTTCGTGGTTCACTAGACTCATCAACATCTTTAGAAAACATTTCATCACGTGTTCCACTTGAACTAGGGATACTTTCATGATTTTCCCTCAATTCATTATCCGAAGATAACGAATCTTCAAAGACCTCTATATCGCTTGATTCGATAATCACATTGGTCTCCAAGTTTAACAATCTATAAGATTTGCTATGGTTAGTATATCCAACGAAGGCACATTTAATGTCTCTTGAATTCAATTTGGTCTTATTAGGATTTTTATTATTGCTATAAGCAAGACACCCCCACACTTTGAAATATTCAATGTTTGGTTTTCTTCTTTTCCACAATTCATAAGGAGAAACATTTATATGATTATAAGGAATCCTATTAAGTATCCTACATGTACTTAATAAAGCATCACCCTATAAATTAATTAAGGAGAAACCTTTGTATGTTTAGAAGGAATTCGATTAAGTATCCTACATGCACTTAATAAAGTTTCACCCCATAAATTAAATGGCAATTTAGCATATATAAGCATGACATTAATCATTTCTACTAAGATTCTATTCTTTCTTTCAGCCAAATCATTTTGTTCTGGTGTTTTAGATACATAATATTGATGAATTATGCCATGTTGTATATAAATTAAATTCACTAGAAAAGTATTTATCACCTCTATCACTTCATAGGGTCTTTATTTTCTTTTCTAGATGATTTTCAACTTCATTTTTATACACCTTAAATATGTCAAAAGCTTCATATTTATATTTCATCAAGTACACGTATGTATATCTAGAAAAATCATTAATAAAAGTAATGAAGTATCTATTTCCACCTCTAATTAATATGCCATTTAATTCACACATATTTGTATGAATTAATTCCAAGATATTAATGGTCATTTTCACACTTTGATATGGCTTTTTAGTCAATTTTGATTTTACATATGTTTTGCATTTATGTTCATTATTTTCATCATATGAAATCAAATCACATTTTTTCATACGTTTCATAGTACTTTTACCAAGATGTCCTAATCTAGCATGCCATCATGAAAATAGATAAACAATATAAGCGAAATTAGTTTTATTCATTTCATTGTCAACGGTACAAAGTTTGACAATTCTTTCACTAGAATATCCTTTTTCCAACAAATTTTTCATTAAAGGAGAGTACAAGTTTACCGAATTCATACACATATTTGATACCCGATTTTCCTAAGAGATTATCACTTACTAAGTTCCTATTCATATCTGGAACATGTAGTACATTGGTAAGGGTAACGATTTTCCCGGAAGTAAAGATAATATCAACATTTCCCTTTCCAATAGCCTTTGATCGAACTTCGTTGCCAACCCTGGCCTCTTTCTAGTAGCCAAGATTTCTAACAGTTGCTTGTACGAAACACATTAGAGTATGTGCTTCTTGGTGTCGATTGAAAGGTCCAAATAGATTTTGACTTCTACATGCACACATTCTGTCTTTTTAAGAAAATACCGGCAATATTGATTAATTCAAAAGGATAAAAAATGCAGGCTTTTAAATTTAAGTAATAAATATTCAAAATGTCCCTATCAAAGGGTGAAAAATAGTATAAAAACTGTCAAAATATATTTGGCATGTTGCAGAATGTTGGACTCCACCTCAGGAGCAAGATTAAAAATTAAAAAAAAAAAATTAAAAAAATAAAAAATCTGTATTTTAAAGAACTAAATAATGAACAAGAATGGGTCCTAGAGGAGATATTTGAAAATGCTAACAGTTCATTTTTCTTTGTATAATTCAAAAGATTTTGTTGAAATTATTACGGGAAAATGCTAAAGAATAAGGAATGGACCATGCTTAAAGCATTTAATAATAAAAAGTTGTCTATTTCATGTTTTCATGAACATCAAAATACCTACTTACACAGCTAGCTGTGGCTAATCTGCTGGATGTCCATTTTTCTATATCATAATCATGGTCAAGAAAAAACATTTTGGTAGAAAAACTAGAACACAAAAAGGACACAAAATTGAAAGTCTATCAGATAATGCTAAAATATGCTCCATTTTAGTCGTGGCTGGGGGGTCGAACAGGTGATTTTTCTTTCAAATAAAAGCTACTTTGAGCAACATTTTTTTTTTCAAACATGTTTTTGATACACAACTTTTTCTTACTTTAAAAAATTACTTATTTACTGATAAGGGGACTCATAATTAGACTCGTATAATTTTTCTTCCTATAAATTAGAAATATAGAAGTCTTGTTTATAAGGTTAGAAATGACGATTTATATTAACTGAACGAGCCCGAAATTATAAAAATAATATAAGAGAATCAGAAAACATTCCAAGAGTAAGAAAGGTCCTGTTCTTTTCAAGCTTTAGAAATTGTAATATAGAGGAAAATAAAAGAGAAAAAGTAGCAGACAGGGGTCCCTATTCCTAGGGGAAATTAACAGAAATGAAAGGTACAAAGGTTGAAGGACCAAAAACAAGAGTTGAAACAAGACATAATCTGTCAATAGAGTTGTCTGTTCAGTGCATCACTAATTGAGACATGATTCCAAACTTCCAAAGTTTGAGAATTTGTGTGCATTCATCTACTTATGAAATTTATCCTGATTGCTTTTTCATATTGAGTAAGCACGCATATCTTTTTGGGCTCTGAAAGAATGTCGAATGTTGAATATTAGGAGATAAAGAATGAGATGATAACAGGGAATTCACTACTCATATGATTTTTTTACACTTTTGTTGCTAGATAATGAGGTGGCATGCACTTTGGCTCTTGATTTGACCTCATCATCTGTCAACAAAGATGTATCCAATTTTTATACAAGTAGCTTAATTGCAATAACAATATATTGAACTAAATGGGGAAAATCTATTAGGTATTTTGTTCACATTTATTTTGCTTAATATTTCTTTCTGTTAAGGTTGTCCTACATCGGTAATAGAAGGGCTTGGTGATCGGTTTATAAGTGTGAGGAAAAGCCTCACCTCTTAAGCTAGCTTTTGGAATTGAGAATGATCAATACCACCAAACATTGATATTAGAGCTCAGGTTATCAACAAGTCTCAGGCCCAACAGTTAGGAGATGTGGGTTTGTGTGAATGGGAAATGAGTTTGGTCTCGCCCATGGCTTATTGTGAGAGAGAAAGAGAGACAGGTTTAGCCTCCTGCAGGGCCTCATTTGTGGGGGAAAGATGGGTTCAGTCTCTCGCAAGTGTCAGGCCCAACAGTTAGGAGATGCGGGTTTGTGTGAACGGGAAATGAGTTTGGTCTCACCCATGGCTTATTGTGTGAGAGAGACAGATTTAGTCTCCTACAGGGCCTGATGTATGGGGGAGAGACGGGTTCAGTCTCCCGCAAGGCTTGATGGGTGAGAAGGAGATTGTTGAGGTTGTCTCTTATCAGTTGTGGAAGGAGCTGGTAGTCAATTTATAAGTGTGAGGGAAAACCTTACTTCTTGAGCTAGCTTTTAGATTTGAGAAGGTCCAATACCACACAACACTCTCATGGCTACATACCTTTTTGGCAATGACAAACAACTAATCTCAACTTGACCTTCTCTTGGATTCACAATACTTCTTTTTGGTTCGCTTATTCTGTTTTATTCACTATTTTATTTGTATTTTGAAGTACGATTAATCCAAAGTTGATTACTTCTATATTTTCTTAAATTCTAAATTAAATAGGCAAATTTACAATTTTTTTTTTTCAAATGCTGCTATTTGGACAACTACCGTGTGTCTCAAGTCTTAAATTGTAAACTGCTCTCCCCAAATAAAAAATCCTGACTCTACCACTGAACTATCAGGGACGGATCCAAGAACATAATTCAATGGTGGCGAGATAAGATTATGTAAAAATTATAGTTTAAAATTATGGACTAAAAATTATGTGGGCTACTTTGTAAATGTCAAAAATTAAGGGCCCAGCGGGTTTGCCCGTGCAAGCAACCACAATCTCTTGAAGAAAAGAGAGAGATTTGTTATGCTGAATTGAGGTTGGGCTATGGCTTAAGTGAATCCCGTGTAACATATCATAGTTCTTGTAATAAACACCACTCTATGGCCTGGGGAAGGAGACAGATAGAGAGCAGTTGTGATGGCAAAAAGAAAGAGCATGCAACGACTGGGAGAGAGTAAAAAAGAGATAAAACTAGAAAAAGCTGCACTTTGAGTGCCCTAGTATTGGGTAGAAAAAGTCGAGAGAATGAAACTCTCACATTTCGAAGTTTATTGAGTTATTAATTTTCATTTTTCGGTAATGTCGAGGGTTTAACCACAAATGCGATTGCTGCACATTTGAGGAATTTTTTCACAACAGTTAAGTGGTGACTTTGTATTATTTCAAATATAACAAGAATTGAATTTAATTTTCCTATTCAGTATAGGATTTGATTTGCTTATCTTGCATCAAAAGAGGATTAGTTAGCCAACCCTTTCTACTTGGGGGTATATCAGTCATGTATTTTTATCGAAAAAACTTGGAGATTTTTTGTAATCTCATCAGGTATAAATTATGGAGATTTAAGTTTTGAGTACTTAGTACCATATGTATGTAACCTATACCGGTTCAATAGTTAATTGGACACTGGCAGTCTAGGTAGCTAGAATGGACTGATTTACAATCAATCATGTCAAGAATCGACCGAAACTGGTCAAGTAAAAATCATTCGGGTTTTTAGATATTTGAATCAAGTTTGTTCAAAATTTGAAGCGCTCAAACCTGGTATCAACTTATCTGGTATTCGTCACTCGGTGTTAAAACCAATGACCTGGTCATGTCTAATAATTTTGCTCATTAGTAATCTTTTAGTATTATCTCTTGTGGTTATTCTCATTTTGAATATTAGTGAAGTTCTTATATTCTCATTTGCGGATGTAGACCAAATGACAATCTTGTTACTTTAGCTCGTTGGTTTTAACTTTCAAATTTTGCCTACCTTTGCGAAACTATCAATGGTACTAGAGTTTGTATTCATTTCAAAGAGTTGATAAGTATATGTTATAGGGAGAGAATATTTAACAATTTGATATTTGAGTTAGGAGAAGTCATAGTAATTTCTTTGATTGATAATTGACTATCGTGATTGGATATTTTGCCTAATGATATTATATTACGTGTTTTGTATAGTATCAGTATCATTATTTTGTGTTGCTAATTTAGCTATATATCTCAACTTGTCATGTTTAGATTCTAAGTTCCCAAAATATAGTATCAAAGTCAAGCTATAATTTTTGGGAAGTGTTATTGAGACAAACTCAAAACATATAATATCATTACTCCAAAATTATAAAAGTATCTTTTAAAAGTAATTAAGTATAACTATATCCTTTAATTGTTATTAAACAAAGTCTTTTTTATTTATATTTTTAAATACAAATAGTAGAAGAGTTAACAAGGTGACTATTTGTATCAAGCTAAACTATAAAAGCAAAGTAAAAAAGATCGATCCAACCCAATATCATTACAAGTAAAACAATACTTATGTCGGGTAGGTCATTATAAATTTTTCTATAAATTTTTTTTCTCATTAAACTGTTAGAGCTAGCATAGTCCAACATATCATGAACTGCTATCAAGTCATGAAGAACTTTATCGTGAATAGGCAAACAAACAATGTGGACGGTACATTTCCAACTTGATCCACTTTACAGAGTTAGCCTGGAACTTAGATTGTCTAACAAATATAAATTTATAGGGTGCTACAAAATCCAAACTTTTGGAATTCAACAAGAAACATAAATGTAAATAAAGAACTCGATTGACAAATGACAAATTTTCTTGCAGTCTAAGATATCTAGAAGAGACCTTTCTTAGGAGTTAAGTCTCCGCAGCCAAAAAATCATGCCTGCCAATCCTACCCGCGCGTAATGCGCCATGAACTCAAATCTGCACCATTATCAATTCCCATAAAAGCCAACTGCAGAACAAGAAATCAAAGCCATTCTTAGCATAAACCAAATTGAAAAGAAATACTAGAGAAAGAGAGACTTCAAGAAAACCAGTCGGGTTTTCTTGATTTAACCCAGCCAGCCGTTTAACATTTTAAAGGGTTGATTTGAAGGGTTCGATTTGATTAATTCTTTTGTTCGTCGTTCTTGCTGTCATAAAAAATGGGTGATAACTTGAAGAAATTCATTTCATCTGATGAACTAAAGAAGCATAAAAAGGCTAATGATCTTTGGATTTCTATTCAGGGAAAAGTTTACAATGTTACAGAGTGGGCTAAGGAACACCCTGGTGGGGACATCCCACTTCTGAATTTGGCTGGGCAGGATGTAACTGACGCATTCATTGCTTTTCATCCAGGTACAGCATGGAATTATCTTGATAAATTCTTTACAGGCTATTATTTAAAAGATTTCCAGGTTTCTGAGGTTTCCAGGGATTATAGAAAGCTAGTTTCTGATTTTTCAAAAGCTGGGATGTTCGAGAAAAAAGGGCATGGAGTGATTTATTCCCTTTGTTTCGTCGCATTGTTGATTTTAGCGTGTTTTTATGGTGTTCTGTGCTGTGATAGTTTCTGGGTTCATATGCTTTCTGGGGGAGTTTTAGGATTTTCTTGGATGCAAGTAGCTTATTTGGGTCATGATTCGGGGCATTATCAAATCATGACTAGTCGTGGATTTAATAAATTTGCGCAGATTCTTACCGGTAATTGCCTTACTGGAATTAGCATTGCTTGGTGGAAATGGACTCATAATGCCCACCATGTTTCGTGTAATAGCCTTGATTATGATCCTGATCTTCAGCATTTGCCCCTTCTTGCGGTTTCTTCAAGATTATTTCAGTCTTTGAAATCGCATTTCTATGGAAGAAATCTCACATTTGATTCCATGGCAAGGTTTTTTGTGAGTTATCAGCACTTGTCGTTCTATCCAGTAATGTGCGTCGCAAGAGTGAATCTTTATCTCCAGACTTTCTTGCTCTTGTTTTCGAATAGAAAAGTGCCCGATAGAGCTTTGAACATATTGGGAATTCTCGTTTACTGGACTTGGTTCCCTTTGCTTGTTTCTTGCCTGCCCAATTGGAACGAAAGGGTTCTGTTTGTCCTAGTGAGTTTTTGTGTCACCTCGATTCAGCATGTACAGTTCTGTTTGAACCATTTCGCTGCAAATGTTTATGTGGGATCGCCCAAGGGGAATGACTGGTTTGAGAAACAGACGAGTGGGACAATTGACATCGCATGCTCGTCTTGGATGGATTGGTTCTTTGGTGGATTACAATTCCAGCTTGAACATCATTTGTTTCCTAGGTTGCCAAGGTGCCATTTGAGGAAAATTTCTCCTATTGTCGAGGAACTATGCAAGAAACACAGCTTGCCTTATAGGAGCTTGTCGTTTTATGAAGCCAATGTGTGGACACTAAAGACACTCAGAACTGCGGCACTGCAGGCTCGAGATTTCACCGTCCCGGCCCCAAAGAATTTGCTGTGGGAAGCAGTAAATACTCATGGATGAGGATTCAGGGGAGCTTGTGGATCTTGTAAAATTTTGTTGGTTCAGGTTTAGTTCTTTTTAGATTTCAGGTGATTAGGATTCTTTTTGTAATGTGCTTCAATTCGTAGTTACACGAAAAGATTGTTAGGAATATAGTCCTTCAGGCTAAATTTTGTTTCTTCGCATTGAGACATTTCTTTATTCAATAACAATAAAGGGACTTATTTATTCAATTAACCAGCACCGTTGGAGGATATCTAGGATAATCGTGTGGATGGAGGATGCCGTTGATTGATTCAAACAAAGCAGTTGTCGGATAAAACTATTGTTAATGATTTTGCCTAAAAGCTTAACTATTCAACATATTCCCGAAGTAGTAATCAACTGTATACCTTGAATAAACCATTGGCAAGATACTACAAAGGCTTTAACCCTGAAAAGCCATGATTTTGTATTTAGTTACATATAGTTATCAATTTGTCAACTAGTCAATTAAGATCGGACCAGTCCCGTCGGTTCAACCAGAAATATTAAGAATCGATTTGGAAATGGGTTTGTCCAATTATAGGCCAAAAATCTGTACATTAGAACCCATGGTCCCCGTTTCACACCACAAATTTGTTTGAATTATTTATTTAATTTATACACCGATTTTTACTTTTTGAGTCAATGTCCAGACCAGTTTTTAAACCAAAATGAAAATAATAATAGAGAGCCTTCTAGATATTCCATAATGGTTTGAGCAACTCATTCAGAACTTTTGTTAGAGTCAAAATGTCCCATGTGTGTAACGCAGAGTCCTTCTCTCTTCGAATGTGTGATGCATAGAAATGCCATTATTGGTTGGTGGTAGAACTCGAATTTGTACTTGTTTCATATTTAAAAACTTATGAAAAATCTATTTATTTATTCATATTGATAATTACATTATAGGACTGATCGTAAGACATTATTTAGCCTTAGCAGAGGCGACAATCCCTCGAGAACGAACCATAGCTGGAAAGTATCAGGGTCTGATCAATCAAAATGTAATCGCTTGGTTACAGAGCCTTGTCGCTGACCAGCCAATTATTCGGTATCCCACATAAGTTGTCACTAGGAACAGTTAAATCTAGCATGAGGTTGTCGTAGTTTAGACCATTCTACCTCTGCCAATGATGGCCATCTCGGGGACGGGGGCACTAGAAGACATTTTATTTTACCAGAAAAAACAGTATATTTCTACTTACATTCGTTCAAACCAAGAATAGCTATTGTGGAATTGTGGACCTTGGTGAGATATATTATTATCAATGAGTATTCAGTTGATTATATATAGCTTAGAAGTGAGAGATGTAGACTGGACCGACCTTTTTGGTCCTGCAGGGTCCAAATCGTGTTTTTTTCTCATTAGTCGGTCCTGTCTACCATCTGCCGTCTGCCTCTGTTAGCTCATGCCAATTTCGCCAAAGCAATATCTGCCAAATGATTTATGACATACACTACAATCCGGGCAACTCAAGATCAGGGGAAGTGCTTAATAGTCGAACAAAGAAGTTACTAATGGCAACGACTCTATGCAAATGGCAACAACTACTTCAAAGCTGAAAACCTGTGCAGTAGTTGTACATCAAAGGCAAATAAACAGCAGAACCTCGATATTGCTGGCTTCGTCTTAAATCCAAGGTTCTACAACAGTTGGCATTAGATGTATTCAGTTAATATGCTATAAGAAAATTAATACTGAGGAATAGTTTGGTTCGCAGTACTAGACAACATAGGACAGTTTTCTGGTTTGATTGCGGTGAAGCAGCTTTGACGGGTGAAAAATGCAGTTTAAGAAACCCTATGAGAGTTTCATTCCATACAATGCTTTCAAAACGATACCCTGATGACATGCTTGGTAAATACAATCCTATCAATACAATCCCCTAATGACATATCTGATAAAGTAGATTAGATAGTACTGGACAGTATTAAGAAAATGGAGTTAAAATATTGTCTAATTTAAATCTCATTATTAGCATACAAATGTAAAAAGCTGTAACAACCAGTGAAAACACGTCGTCTCATCATTGCTCGATGCTAGCTCTCGAGTAGACAATCTTCGTGTCGAAATCAGAAACATCTAGGCTATTCAGCAATTGAACTTTAGACATGCTAATTGAATTGTCACAATTATTACGAGTTTTCAAGAATGAGTTCAAGATTAGCTGAGTTCAACCATTAGTCACTCGAAATAGCGAAACACCAATTTCATTTCAAAGAAAACAGGAAAAGGGATCAATGTTTTAGGCACAATCGAATACACACAAGATGCACAATCCAGTAAATAGTAGTACAGATTTTAGACATGGCTTTTAATGGAAGAGCTTTATCCAGTTTGATCATCATAGTACTTGGACCACAGCATAACACCTCCATATTTTGTAGAACCCTTAATAGCTGGAAGAACTGTCGAAGTCAGATCAGCAACTGGGATGAAGCCACTTCCAGCAGCGTCTGGTGCTGCAGGTAATCCTAGGAAAATCTTAGTAGCAGGGATAGACAAAATCCATTCTTTCCATGCTTTCTTCAGATTGGAAATATCTCCAGAAGCGTATTGGCAAGGAGGGTTATTGTAAAACTGAACCCAGACGTAGTCGAAAAGGCCAGTTTTCAAGGCACCACCTACCCAAGCATCGGGAAATGGGCATTGAGGAGCAGCCGTCAAGTACACCTTCTTACTTCTGGTGCTCTATTTAGAAAGATACCGAGCAAGTTCATCCCAGTGTTGAGATGTACCGCCTTCAATATCGAAGTCAATTCCATCCAACACTGCATTCCCAAGAGGGCGAGATGAGGATTTCCCTCCCAAGAAGTTGTTCCACAGGTAAGTTGCCAAATCCCTCGCATCCTGAGACGAGGAAAGGGTATACCCTCCGGCCGCTTCTCCAATCTAAAGTATCACTATTATTCCTTTGGCTTGACAGGATTTTATGTCAGAACTCAAACCAACACAAGCATTGCTACATGGATCACAGTGTCTGGCTAGATTGATCATCGGTTTCTGGCCATTACCGAACAATGCAAGAAACGCTAGGATCACGAAATTGTAGTTGCCTGTGGCACAAGTTCGGACAATATCCCTTCATTTCCATTCCGTCCCCAGTATATAGCAATTCGTCCAGCTTCAGAACCCACCACCAGTATTAGTATTACCAGTGGAAGAATTACTGGAGAAGCC